GTGCATATGACTGTTCATGCTGTATTCTAGTAGAGAGATTGCTGGATCATAGGTGAGTTCTATTTGCATTTGGTGAAGGAATTGCTAAACTGATTTCCATAGTGGCTGGACAATTCTACAGTCCCATCAGCAATGGAAACCTGTTCCAATCACTCCTCATTTTATCCAGCATTTATTATTTCTGCTTTATTGAATTTTGCTAAAGGTGTGAGGTGGTATCTCTTTTAATTTGTTTTTCTCTTATTGGTAATGAATGTAAACATTTCTTTACATGGTTTTTGGCCACCTGGCTATCACCTTTGGTAAACTGTCTATTCATGTCTTGTGCCCATTTTTCGAATGGGTTATTTATATTCTTCTTAAGATGTAGTTTTCTATAGAATCTGGAAATTAGCCCTTTATCTATGACTACTAAATAATTTTCCCACTCTGTGGGTTCTCTATAAACTCTTTTAATGAAATTTTGTAGTATGTATAAATGTACTTTTAGTAGGTCCCTGTCCTTTATTTTGTCTTCTATAGTGTGAATATTTTCCACTATGTTTTGTAGTGTGTTTATGCTTTGTTTTAGAGCCCTTAAGTATGGCCCTATATTTTCCTTGAGAGTTTTTAGGATTGTGTGGTTTATATTTAGGTGTTTGATATGTCTTGAGTTTGTTTTATACATGATGAATTATGGGTCCTGTTACATTCTTTCTCAGGTGAACTTCCAGCTTTTCCAGCAGCATTGATCGACAAGGTTATCCTTTCCCTACTCATGTGTTTTAGTCCTTTATCAAAACTTAGGTTTCTGTATGTACTTGGTGGCATTTCTGGGTTCCCAATTGGTCTTCATAGCTATCATTGGTCTTCATAGCTATCCATTGGTCTTCATAGCTATCATTGTACCAGTACCAGGCTGTTTTGTTTACCATAGCTATATAATAATTTTTAAAGTCAGAGAGTGAAAGGTTTTATTTTTTAATAATGTTTTATCTATCCTGGGTTCCTTTCTTTTCCAGATAAAGTTGATGATTATTACTTCCATTTCTTTGAATGATTGTGGTGGGATTTGGATTGGAAATGCATTGAACTTTAAAGTATTTTTAGTAATATTGATATTTTCACAATGTTTACATATTGAAGAACATGGTAGCTTGTTCCCGTTGTGTGTTTTTTTTGGTTTCTTCAAGGAGTACTTTTGCATTTCCCTTGTTTAAGTCTTTTGTTTGTCTAGTAAAATTTATTCCTAAATATTTTATATTTTGTGTAACTATTGCAAATGATATTATTTTAATATCTTTTCCAGTTATATCATCTTTAATATGCAAGAATACAACTGATTTCTTTATGTTATGTTGATTTTATGTGCTGAGGCCCTATCATATTTTTCAATTAGTTCCAGTAATTTTTAATTGACCATTTGGGTTTTTCTATATATAGGATTACATCACCTGAGAATAAAGAATTTTGTTTCTTCTGTGCATGTGTGTATTTCTTTAAATCTTTTTGATGTTTTATAGCTCTAGCTAAAACTTCCAGGACCACATTAAATTAAAGTGGTGATAAAGGGCACCACTGCCTGGTCCCTGTTCTAAAGGGGAGTGTTTTCAGTAGCCTTCCATTAAACGAGATGCTGGTTGTTGGCTTTGTATACGTGGCCTTTATTATGTTGAGAAATGTCCTTTCTATTCTGATTTTATTAAAGCTGTAATTTTTATGGGCGCAGTTTCTAGGGTTTTTACTTCATGGAGTTGCTGGTGAGTTTGAACCAATGACCTTCTGTTTAGCAGTCAAGCGCTTAATCATTGTGCCATCTGGGCTCCTGAAAATTGTATTATTGTAGAAAAGTATTTACCACACACTTTAGATTTATCTCAACCCAGTAGTTTTGCAAACATGACTTGACAACCACAGTTGGATCCATTTACTCATTTTGCCTCCTGGTCAGTAATTCTTAGTATTTGTAAGGCCAATCGACTTGGTGTTTTTCTTATTGTTATTCCTCAATTTTAATAAGTAGTGCAAACTAATTGGATTTGGAGGTTACTATATGGGAGGAAGCAAAGAGAATCACAAGAGGATGTAAAGGGTAATTTTGTTGAATCTAGACATGCAGGCATTTATCTGGTGTTGGCAAAGGCACTTTATCTCATTGGTTTTCAAATTTTCCTCTCTTCTAATTTCATTAGTTGTGATAAATAATTAGGATAGTCCTACTATGAGAAATAATGGTTACCAGTATGAAGAGAGTTATGTCTGAGTAGGTAATACCCGAAGGGATTATTTTATTTATGAATTATGAGAATTTTTTAGGGCAAACTTTGTCTTTAAGCTTCACATTTTCCTAAGCACTTCCTCAGATTTCTGTTGAACTTCAAAACCCTGCTCTACTTTGCAGCACAGCCCTCTCTGGGCAAGTCACAATTTTAGCATTTGTCCTTTCCCAGGCTAAAGACATCCTCCACCTCCACACATCTGCTTGATATAATGTTGTCCTGGTTTCCACTGAGTTTTTATTTGGGCCACAGTAATACAGAAAAAAATGTGTGAAAAGAAGTTGTTTCAGAGAAGCCTCCCTGGCTATCCTATCCTGGAGATGATGAAAATACATATTTTGACATTGTAAAAATATTTTAGATGACAAATACATTCAAATTATTAGCTATAACAAAATGTTTTGTGGCTTAGATCCAAGGACATTGTAACTCTATTTTTTATAATAGCCCTTAATTTTCCTTTCTCACATACATCAAAATTGTTCACACCCAAATTATCATGACCTTGTACTTCCTTTATATTCCTTTAGAAAGTAATTGCTTTATATAAAATGTGTGTAAAATGTATCCCTCAAAGCTGAGGTGCTATTGTACGATTCTGAATAAATATAAAGAACTCAGCCAGGATGAGTCCCCTTTTATGTATCTAACTTGGAATCCTCATATGTATTCAAGTTCCAGCCACAAATGTTGTTCTTTTGTGCACACAACGCCTAGGATCATTTGAACCCCTGCCAACCTTGCTTGTTATGTTCCGCCCCGGGGCCCCTTCATCTTCAACGCCCAGAGTAACAAGTCATGCCCACCATTCTGCCATGGTTTCAATACAACTTTCTCTGAAGAATCTTATCCACCTCATCTTTATATACTTTATACATTCAGAAAAGCTTCAGCTCTTACACATTTTCTTACAACCTTTTAGCCATTACAAATTTTTAACAATTTAAAGATTGTTCCAATACTATTACACACTTCATTATTCTCTTTATTTTATTTTTTTTGCAGAGATAAAACAGCTACTTTAATCATTGATATTTCATTGAGGGAACGTTTCCAACATGGGCAACTTCTATAAACATTTAAAGAAAATGATAAAGAACAGTCCTCAAATCACCACTACTAGGATGGGCATAGGGGAAGAAAAAAAATTGGGGAATACTAGGAGGATTTTGAACAGAGCTCTACGGTAAAAATAAGATTTGTATAAGCAGATAGAATTCTGAGGATAATCCCATATTTAATATAGGTAACACCTATATTGCAAGTAAGGGAGCCTACAGTTCAAAGTAAATATGGAATTTGGGGAAGGAAAACAAACTACTACTTTTATTTAAAGAATAGAAGTGAGATCAATAAAATCTATGATTTTCAAGCCATCTTCTTACCTATGGAATTCTATTCTATAGCAGGATCATCCTAGATGTCTTATATATTACATAACCAAAAAAAGAACATTGTTTTTCTTTCAAAATATAACATAGAATATAAAGTTAGCCTTAGTAAATTTGAAAACACCTCTGATCACTAGGGATCAACAATAGGAAAATCAAAGGAAAATAACACACATGGAAATTTTAAAAGACCCTCCTTAAAAACTACTGAATAGTTGAAGAAATTAGGAATTAAATTCCAAAATTCGTTGAAACAATTATAAGAATGAAAATACAACATACCAAAACATTCAAAGAAAGCAAAAACAGTCCATAGAGGGTAATTTATAACTAAACTTACATATTAATAAAGAAGAACCCAAACCAACACTTTGACCCAACATCTTCAACAATTAAAACAAAAG